ATGTGAAGGTCCAGTGGCAATTTTCCTGAAGATGTATGGCTGGCTGCATGCACTTGATGCCAGCATTAACTACCTGACAATGGAGGCTATTATGTTATATACGTCCCAATTAAGACAGAGGACACATATTTGAATTAATTAATTAATTTATATTTAGGCTATATGACATTGATTCTCAAATTCGATTTACTGTGCCAAACTGTCTTTACGTTTAGCCTATACTCATTCTTTAGAACAATACATTATTATTAAAATTAAATTAAAATTAAAAAACAATTTAAATAAATTTATTAATTAAAATTTTAAATAGAAAGATCCTACGAAACGCAGATGGCTCTGACGGGTACTGATGCTGTGAAGCGAGTGCAACCAAATGTGCGCCAATGCTGGTTATGTTGGTGTGAAATGGGGAATAAATGAGGATAATTGCAGTGGAATTATGAGCGTACAGTATGCTGGTTACGTCAGGGCGGAGTTTGCGTTGGTGTATATGCATCCCGATACACGGGCAGAGTGTACAGTGAAGTGACTACACACACACACACACACACACGTCCGTCGTCTAGCTCAATAACGCATATTCTGTCCCACGGGTTACGGCCACAAGCCCGCCGCTCTCAGCCTCTCTCTCTCTCTCTCGCTCTCTCCCTGTCGGTCTCTTTTATGCTGATCGATCGATCGAGCTTATAATTATAATAATAATAATACAATAATAATAATTATTATTATTATTCGGCAGACAGATAGACAGACAGACAGACAAACAGACAGACAGACAGACAGACAGACAGACAGACAGACAGACAGACAGACAGACTGACATACAGACAGACAGACAGACAGACGAACGGACATATGGACTGGACGGACGGACCGACAGACGGCACGGGCAGCCAGACGGCAGACAGACATACACTACAGACAGACAGACAGACAGACAGACCAGCACAGACAGACAGACAGGGACGACGAAGACACACACACACAGCACACAGACAGACAGACAGACAGACAGACAGACAGACAGACAGACAGACACACAGACAACAGCAACAAGAGAGACAGACAGACAGATAGACAAGCAGGCAGGCAGGCAGGCAGGCAGGCAGGCCTGTTTTGTCTGTGACAGACAGAGGAGGACGCTGTTTATATCGCGCCGAGAGAGAAGAGAGCACAGCACAGGAATTGGGTAAGAGAGAAGGGGATAGACAGGGAATGATATGAGAGAGAGAGAGAGAGGAGAGAGGAGAGAGAGAGAGAGAGAGAGAAGAGAGAGAGAGAGAGAGAGAGATAGAGCGCGAGAGATCGAGCGAGCATGAAAGAAATGAAAGGGAGGATATGAGAGAGCTCGTGTTCATGGAAGAGATTCTTCCTATGACAAATATTGTTGTGTGTGTTGTGCGCATCATAGGAGTTTAGGAGGGCGCTATTATGAACGCAAGCAGTGAATTTGAGCTGTATAGCGGAAGCGAAGTTGACTCGCCAATATTTGTCATAGGAAGAATCTTTCTTGACAAATAGTGTCATAGGAGAGCGTATATGCGTATGTCGTATTTGTCATAGATGCTAGCAAAACATGTCGGGTATATGTACCCACGAGGAAGCGCCGGCGACCACTGACACGTTCTTTAGGAGAACAAAATAAAATTAGCGTCATAAAGTGTTGGTGAATTCCTGCGGTGTGGGTTTTCATCGTCCGTTGATTGCAGTGATTGCATGTGATAGTAGTTGATTGACGTCGTCTTGCATGCTCTCTCTCTGTGCATTACTGAGTTAGCGGAAAAAAACTTTTGTAAATAATATTGTAGTTAAAATAGAAAACGAGTAACTGAGAAATTCCTCTGTGTGTACACACACGCGCACGCACTCACGCACGTGCACGCACCGAGCATGCGCGCACAGCATATCTATATTGATATTCTTGCGGCCTATTAATCTAAAACACTTCACGTTTCAACGCAAAACTGTTTTTGCATGTAAGAAAGAACATTAGGCCAACAACTTTATCGCAGTCTGTCAACTTACTTCCTTACTTTTACGTTAGACAATCATCATAGTCTGTCATCGGGGCTTGCTTGCAATCATGAGTTAGGGTGTGTCAAACAAGTTGAAACCAGACTGTATATAATTCTGCATTTGAAGAACTACAGCTTTTAGAGATAAGGCAAACAAACGAGCTGCCAACCGCAATACGCGCAGCTACAGAACCTAGCTGATATGTCGACAGAGCAGGTAAATATCCTACTACCTTCGGAGAAGGATCGCTCGCGAGCAGATCAATGGCAGGTTTAATGATGATGACGTCACACACGAGTGAATGCGGGCCCGTCATAAACCATAAACGTTATGACTAAGCCACGACTAGGGATTTTTGTAACGTATGCACAACGTTGTTTAACGCGTGTTGCGTGTGTGACCTACCACTAACAAATACGCATAGCAGTACGTGTATATAATAGCAGTAGTAATAGTAAAGCAAATAAATCGAATACATTGTATTTTCTCTCTATTCATTGTAGAATTGGAAACTTTTTCCACCGCTACCCCAATGTTGATCTTTCAGTGGATAAGCATTAGACTATCATTTTCTTATACACTCGCTTAAATTACGAGGAATATTTATTGCGAGGTTTTGAAGCGTGTCCGCTCACGTTGGCACGCCGTAGAGCTGCACGTCTTGAGGACGTCACCCGCAAGTGTTGTTTTCTCCGTCTGCGCAGGTATCACGACGTTTTTGACGATGCTACACGCAAAGCTCCGGCGTTCGCTACACGCTGCCGCCTGTCTCCTACACGAAGCGATCGACATCTGGTTTAACGTGTGCACGGTGTTCATCTTTCTCCCGCTAGTCGAGTTCGCGCACTCGTTACCTACGTCTCAAGGCACTACAGCAGGCCGAGTCCGAAGCGGCACTCTGTCGCGGGTGAGTGGCAGTTGTTACTATAGTTACGTCGTAGTTGCTACTGTAGTAAGTTACCATAGTTACGTATACTTACATCATCTCTTAGCATGGGTTTACCTATGCAGCTTTCGATCCGCCAGAGGACGCGGTGGCACAGGTGAAGAGCTGCTGAGTTACAAGCACGTGGTGCGAGCGAAGGCTAGCGGCGAGAATAGAGCTACAGTGCAGGACAATGTGGCCAGCGTGAGGGCTCATCAGGGGTTGGCTTAGCATCGTAGAGCTATGGATTGTGGTTGAAGGCGAACGGAGGTTTTTGAAGCCCGGTGATTTTTGTGAATGTTTTTTCGTAATGTCTCTCGACATAAAACACCGAAGTTCTCTGATGAAGAGCATATTTCGTATTAACGCGAATAGGGAAGACGCTAGGATCTGAAAGCTGCTGGTATGTTCGAAAGGTCGCCAGAAGATAGGGTTCGTCTTTTCTCTTACAGGCACGTAGCGCACGCCTAGCGCGACCACGCGACGCACGCACCACGCTAACACACACACGCAGCCAAACGCACGCGACGCACAGCACGGACCAGCACGGCACAGGCACGACACACGCTCACGAGACGACACCGCACGCAACGTGCACGGCAGGGGAGCACCCACGCACACACGCACGCACGCACGTACACACACAGACTACACACATACACATACACACACACCACACACACACACACACACACAACACACACACCACACACACTCAACACGAGCGCGGGCGTGGGCATAACACATATAGTAATACAGCCAAAAGCAAAGCAAGGCAGCTGATTTGACTGCATGGAAATGCTTCGGCCGCCTTCTGCTTTCGGAAACTCTTCCTAAAAATCTTAAGCACGGTGTAGTTTTTACATCTGCTCGTAACTTTTCCTAGCTTGTACTTAACATAAGCGCCTCGGGGCGATTCTAAAGCACCCAAGGCGATCACCAAACGCATTACGTTCGTGCACACGCACACAGCACACAACGAGCAGGCGCCGCGTGTTTATTGGCTTTTATAACGCCGGCACTTTCGTCAGTATCGCTTTGCGCATTCTCGCACATCGCTCTTCTGCCGTCTCGCCAGTAATTGCCTCGGCGAGCGTGGATGGTAGATGGTGCGCGTGTAG